TGCCTAGCAAATTTACTAGGATGAGGAGAAATCAACAAAACTTAAAGTAATTACTGAATATTTGAAGTATTTCCTATGTGAGAAAATCTTTTTAGGATTAACCTATCAGAAAGATAGCTTCGAATGTAGTCACTAATTAAAACCAGAATAGAAATTTGTTCGTGTTTTTGAGTAAAATACAGTTTATATTTAGATCAACTGTTTGACGAGAATCAATCTGGAGTATCCATGCTCTAGTCTACTTCTTTGCATATATTCGATAGGTTTTAAAGACTCGAAATAAGAACATCTTGAAAATAAAAATTTTTTTTTCTGATCTGGTCGGTAGAAATCGTTCGAGTGTTTGGAAATTCATCATCGACTTACTCTCAGAGTGATAATCTGAAGACTCGATATAAAACTTCGATAGTAATCGAATGACTAATTCACTTTGAAATAAGATAATAAAATCTAGTCTAAAAGAGCATTGTCTTTGTATTTTGTCTTGATTTAATATATTTGAAAATTAAAGAATGAAAGATAAAAACATTTTCGTTTAATAAATGTTAAAACCATTGATTTTGTACAATAGCCCATATTTTTTCTTCTACAGAAATAGTTTTAAGTTGATCAAATGGGATTGGACTTAGTGTAGATAAATCTTGATAAAATTGTTTTGAATAATATTTTTTTAATTGTGAAGCTGCTTCTAGAATAAGTATTATTGCAAACATCATCATCGAAATTCTCACATAATGAGCTAATGTATATTGATTTTTTGAATCTGATATTGTATGTTGATCATCAGGAAATATTTTAAAAGCAGGTGAAGAATAACAATATTGAATAAGACGACCTGTGGGTTCATCTAATGTTTTTCCATCGAGAAAAGTTTGAGTAAAAATTGTTCGATGATTATTTTTCATATCTTCATGAAAATCCTAAAAGTTTGATTTTTAATATAAGTTTAATAATAAAAAAAAACAATTAATATAATTTACTTGTAAATCATCAAGTAGTTGAAAAGCAAATCCAAGATATTCTAAATATGCCATTTTAGCTCTTGTCAATTGTCCTTCTATCAAAAATGCCGCTGCAATTAAAGATGCTCCACCTTTTTCCGCACTAATTTGTTCAATTAATGTCATTGTTGGTTGATATCCATCTTCTATATTTGCATGTTGTAATATTGATTTCATTTGTGATTCATGAATAGTAGCTAAAGACATATAAACTCCTCGATTTTTTTCATCACGTTTCCAATCATTCTCAATAAATTTGACCATATCAAAGATTTTTTCTAATCTATCTGCATGTATTTCTATGTTTAAATGATTAACATTCGATTGTTTTTCACGAAAATATGCATTAGGATTATATGTAGATTGACCATGAAGTAATATATCATGAAAGATTTTTTTGAATTCGATCTTTGTTTCTTTTGATACTTGATTTGAATCAATAAAATCATCAGTATACGGATAAAGCATATTATAACCAAATATTGAATCTGTTAAAACTAAAGGTAAATTGAGTTGAATTTGAAAAGCGATCATAAACCAAACAGTGCGACCAGCTTTGTATAATTCTTGATAATTTATTTTCGAATCATATTCTTTACCTCTATTAAGAAATTGATTAGTAATACGTCCGAGTGATGCATATATTTGATAAAGACATGGATCGTTTAATGAAGGAATATTAAATGTTTTATTCCAAAGTTGAAAACCTATTGATAATAAAACTAATGTTGTGTGTAGAAAATAAAATCTCTAGTTCTTTTCTTTTTTACCTTTAGAACGGATTCTATTTTTGAGAAATGTTTTTTTTAAAAACATAGAGTAAATTGCAAAAAATTTCAAATTTCTTAATCGTTTTCTCTGTTGTTTTAATGTTTGTTGTTTGAATAATTTATTATCAATATTTGTTAGATTGAAAGGCAATGAATACCATAATTTTAATGTACTTTCTGCATTTAATTTCAATCGTTCTTGCCGAAATTCTTCATAACTTTCAAATTCAAATAGAATATCATTATCAATATCATCCATCTACAATCAAACTGAAATTTAGATTTAATAAATAGATCAGTGTAATTTTTTCTCTCTTATTTAATGAATATGACAATAGATTTTGAAGATTATTGGATATGAGAATATTTTGTGAGCAGTAGTGTAGAAGTCGAAAAGTCGATTCGAATTTTAAACTTTTTTCAAATTTTCATCTATTCAACTTTCAAGTTGAAATTATACGTTTATATGTATGCTACAAAATGTTGAAGGAAAGAACTATAACCTAGGAAGATAAGCAAACGGGTAAAACAGTATTTAAACATGTTCACTCTAAACTTTTAAAAACATTTGATATGTCTTCAAAAATATGTTAATTATAGTTTAAAAATAATTCATTTTTAACACATTTTCGATGTTTAAATGATTGAAGTTAACGTTGCTCTTGTCATTTAAACGTGTTTTTGGGGTCATATGAAACATTTTTAACAGTTTGATGAATATTGATTTGATGTGACAAAACAGTGAAGTATGAGCTTATTTTCCTGCTATTTGAGGACGTTAATTATAACTCTGGACAGGTATTTTATTTCAAAAATGCAATCTACATAGTCGAATAAAAAGTGATGGATATTCAAAAGTTTCCGGACAAGTTTCATTAAAAAAAGTAACAAGCATTGTTTATTTGGTATTACGATGTTCTTATAGTTCACAGAGTATTCAAGCTATAAACATCATAGACTCTGATGAATTGAGAAATATTTCTGCGATAGTAAAAAAATTTCTGTTATATTCAAATATAAAGGCTAACAAAGAATAGAAATTTGAAAAAGGAATACACAACTTACGATTGGTGATTGACTTTTAAAGCAAGAAACTTTGTTCCAAAATGGTATGAGATTTTTATTCGTCGTTAGTCTTTATATTGTGATATAACAAAAATTTCTATATTGTTGTAGAAATATTTCAATCGATGAGAGTCTATGATACTTGTAAATTAGATATATACTTTTTCAAGTCGTATATGCTATGCGCAATCTATACTCAACTAATTTTAATTCATCAGTCATTTATCAGTGTATCTACAACGTTTCATAAACACTTCTTATGACCTCATATGAAAAACTTCATCTATTCGATTGTCAAGTTTTGAAAACTACATCGAGGAAAATAAACAATTTAGCGCTAAGATCAGCTCAACTAAACTAAAATCAATACATTGCTCATATTCTAACTTTAAGAAATGATTGTACTTGTGTTCTCAACTCTGCAACTTTACTATCGAAGTTTGATGCACAAATAAATACATCATCATACTCAATGTTATACATATTACATGCATATTCAATATTATTCATTTCTTTTTATATATGTGCATATGTGTGTGTCCATTTTATCCTTACCGTGAACAGAGGACGAATGGAGCGAGTAGATAATTTAGTATAAATTGTATATAATGAGAAAAAGAATATCAATGAATATATGAAAGATGTCATAGAAAACGAATAAATGTTCGAGAGAAAGTGTGAAAAACATGTTTGTTTCTTTCTTTTTTTTTTTGAGTATGCTTATATTTGTGACGTTTGTAGGCGTTTACTTTTTTTCTTGTCTTTCTGTGTTGTCATGTTAAAAAAGAAAAGAAAGAACGAAAGAAATATTTTCTCAATGTGTGAGCATGTATTAAGCAATGTGGATGTCATCCGAATCTAGTAAATACGAAAGACACGGATGGATAATAGAAAAAAGAGTGCTGCCGAGATCATTGCAAGACAAAAAAAAACAGACTAACTTTACTCTATTCGAAGTCATTTTTAATATTTAAATAACGACTGCGGCAGATTAAATGGCCGTGCTCTGCATTTTTATATTTTAATCTCTAAATATGTTTTATTAAAAAACAAAATATACCACAAGATGCAGCGTGAAAAGCTCTACAATCTACAAAGTAAAGTTTATTTTAATTATATACTTTTTGTTTTCAAAATAAGCAAAATTCTGTGTAATCACTTCTACAGTGTCCAAAAACTAATTGCACAGAGTTATGCTTTATTTGAACCAAAAATTACACAATTAAAACAAGCCTTACTTTGTAGATTGTGGAACTTTTCACGGTGCACCTTTTGATATGTTTTGTTTTTTTTAATACAACCTATTAAGTGATGAAAAAATAAAATGTAAACGTGGTCATTTAATCTGCCGTACTCGTTATGTACACATTCATTTTCTCTGAAAACTCATCTGTCTCATTTATAACAACAGGATTGCTAAACAGTTTATTTTATTCATTTTTGATCTTTCCAAAAAGCATACTGAATAAACTTGATTTTTATACAACTGAGCATTGGAATATAAACAAGTTTCTAAATAAGTAATCCTCTCATGCGGAAAATTTCATTAAAAACATGGATTGTAAAGTGTGATTTTAACCTATACAAAAATATTCTGTCTTGAAAAGATATATATATATGAAGTAAAATCCGGATGCTACTAAAAAAACACAGGAAAAAATCATGATAGCACCGCTGCTAGGCCTGCATGTAGGATACTATTGCAGATTTATAGTTTTATATTTTTCAAATCAGATTCTCTCTTAATATCTTCAATTCAAAACCAATACCATCAATTAGTTCTTTAATCCTCCATTCCACAGCCTTTCAAAAAGAAGCAATTTTCCAAATATGATGCTTTTAGCTAGGAAGAAACAACACCGCAATATTCTGATGTTCTCTTTGTATTCTTATTTTTCGTTATACCAAGAAGTTTCGCGCTATTCCAACAAATCACCATTTCACAAAATTAAACTAGGGTGTGGGTGTGGGTGGGTGTAAGTGTAGGTGTGGATGTGCGTGTGGGTGTGGATTAGAATCTTCTCTTTACACACCCACATCAACACTCACACTCATTCCCACGCCCACACCTACACCTACACCCACACCCCACACCCATCCACACCCACACCCTCAATGAGAATAATTTGTAAGTTCATAGTCGCAAAATATATTGACAAAATGTCTAATTATTATTATGATTTCTTATGCCAAAGCACGTGCGAAATCGTTGAATAATATGTTGAATAGCGGCCGTAAATTCATTTTTGTATTGCTCTGATGGTAATATAAATACAATAAATGTAACCATGGATGGAGTAAAAGAAATAAAATAACCAAAGAGATATAACCATGGGTTTCTTGGCGATTTCATACATCCACTGATAAATGATATGATGAGACGAGGTAAAGCCAATAATATTAATGCACATGATGCGAATAGATGATGTCTGTGGTGATTAAAATGTCGTCGTAGATGTACGACGAATGGTATTGCAGCTTGAGTTTGCCAACGAGAGAGAGCTATGTGCTTAATTGTTAATATGGTAGAAATTATATTCACTGAGAAAGGAACAACAAAATGAAAAAGTGCAATTAACATATTGAAAATATTTAATGCATAAGAATATTGAGCTATACACCAAGTTCGTTGTTCATCAACGTCAATATCATCAATCAAACGACGATGAAAAGGATCTTGAATATGAGTAAGAATTGTTACCAGATATATACATGAAAAAACCCATTTAGCTACTTTCTTGCTTTTAAGTTGATTGAAATTAACACCTTGGATAACGGTAAATACTCGTTCGAGGGCAATACAAGCATAAAACCAATCATTTGATGCTACAAGAACTTTGAGAGTCATATCTAATAATATACAATTCCATGTAAGGAATAAACGATCGCTAATAATTGAAATTTGTGATAAAAGTAATTGCCAAAATTTGATTATCAATACAATACTTAGACACAAGGAATTCCATGATGAAACAAGTAGATAGATACTACAACCATTTTTTCTTATTTTTTTGCTTTGAAATGTTACAATAGATGTGATTCCATTGATTAGTCCTAAAATAAACATAACTACTACAATGGCAATACTTATTTTAATAATGAATGGCTGTCGATGAATTGAAATATTTGGTTTAATATTATTACCGAGAATATAATCAAGGGATAATGCAAAACCTCTTGTAGAAAACTGACATTTTGTACCATAGTAACATGCGGGACATACACAAATCGATAAAAGAGGACATTTAAGAGTATCTTGAAAGCATAGGCCATTGTTTTCGCAAATATTTTCTCCTTGACAATCATGTGATATAGTATGATTGAATGTAAAACAATTGGAAAATCGATTAACATCACATATACACATGTATATTTCATCATAGAAACACTTCATTTGTTCTTTTTGTTGACATAAATAAGGATAATATTTAATACGACGAAGTAAATAATAATTTGAAAATGTACTATTCATTAGTTCGTATATAGATGCACATCGGTAATTCGATAAGATTCTCGTTTGAATATATTCCGATTCGATAAATCTTTCCCTTAATACAACTAAATAATAGGTCCGATTAGTTAATTCAATAAAAATAGCATGAAATGGATCGGTCGTAAAAGCACTAATTAGATTTTGTGCAAATTTTATCTTTTTTAATAATGTATTACGTCGATGACCACCATTTTCAATTGAAGTAATAAAATGTACCCAAATAATTGGCATCATACCAATATTTTCATCATTAAATGTAATATCAATTCGATTTTTGAAATTTTCACATCTTGTTCCGAAGAAATTTTCCGCACACAAACATGTAAAACTCTTCAAACCCATACGATCATCATGAGGTATGCAGATTCCGTTATTTTGACACGGATTATTAGGGATTTGACAAATTGAATTTTTTAAATAACACATTGAACCGAATTTGTGTAGTGGACAAACACAAATTGACGAGCTAAGACAATATGAATCCAGTGAACAAGAACAATTGTGTTGAATGTTACATTGTGAACCCGAATATCCTTCATCACATTGACAGAAGTATGAGAAGTTTCCATTCATGTATTGTACACATCGACCATGTTTGCCGCAAAATAAAGGACATGATTTCGAAATTACTTTTGAATTTGGAATAAATAGTTGAGCAGCAATTCGATTAACTGGTAGAAATTGAAATGGAATAGAAAGATGCCATTTTCCCAAATAGCTTAATGTCAATTTATCAAGCAAATCAATATGTATCGAATAATTAGTAGAAGAATTTTTTGGTTGATTTGGATACAGTAAATAAAGATTATATTTTGTGCCACAATTACGTTTCGGTACAAACGTGATTTGTTCATGATATAATACGCTTTGACTTTCTTCATCAATAAGCATGACAACCACTTGAAAAGCTGTCATAATGTAAGTATCAGTACGATACACTAACTGCAGTGTTAAACTTATTCGTTGATTTTGCCATTGACATCGATCGCCGAAATAACTTGGTGGACACAAACATTTCTTTGTATTTTGATCATTAAAAAGAATGCGAATTCCTCGATTACAATACCACATTGTTATATCGTCGGGTTGTAAATTGATTAATGATTCTTTTTTAATCATGGAACTATTTCGTTTAGATACCATAGCTAATTCTGGTGGGAAATATCCCAACTGCGACGATTTAAAAGTCCATTCTGTGATTTCAAGTCTTTGGTAAGGCTCTCTTGTAATAGGGCAAATATGTTTTTTAATTTGTGACAGCCAGTATTTTGCTACTGTTGAAAATAAAAATATGCTCGGTCCAACGAAAAGCAGTCCATGACTCCCATATAGATGATTAGATATAATACATACGTTACTTGCGTGTAGACATGATTCGGTACTTGAGGAACTTGTTGTCTTGTTGTTAATCGTAGTATTAAAAGACATTGCATATTCTGTGTAAAGAATATTACAATTTAAATATTCTTCCATTAAAACCATTAACGAATAACAAATTTGGTCAGACAATAGCGTATTGCGTACTCCATCATCATGTGATTCGCATTTTATAATGGGACAATTTAATTCATCAACACCGTCAGCACAATCTTTGACATGATCACATTGAGTATAAATATTATTGCATGGCCAATACTCACAGTTCGTTTCGTCGGTATCATTAAATTCTGATAATAATTGTTCATTATTGCGATTACATATCAAACCGAATGAAACGATTCCTTTTAACATATCATGTTGATTTTCAGTCATTTCATCTTCACCACCTTTACAATCTTTGTTGCCATTCTGCAGTAACATTGGCGATAAACATTTGTCTGGTTCTGATTCACAAATAAATCGTCGTGAATCGTTCAGATGACACGCATGAAACGCTTCATCTTCACCAAAGTAGCAATCGGATATACCGTCAAGCAGACGATGTTTTGAAATGCATTTTAATGAAAGTGGGCAATGAAAAAGTGATGGATGTGAACATGATTGCTCTACACCTGTGGTGGAGCAACGAAAAAATAGATTTTTTATAGTGCTAATGAGATCGACCTGGTCAGTAAATGATGTGCCCATTAATTTCGAAGAAGGACAGCATACTAGACCACCATCTAATCCTATATCTATGACACAATTGGCGAATGTTGGACAGTCTTGAACATAGAAGCAAATAAAATCAGGATATTTCAGGGTGATTAAGTCCTCCACTAATCGATGAGGTAAGTAAACAAAGTGAAACTTCCAAAAAGTAAAGAAAAATTTAGCTTTAAAAATCCATTTCGATAAACATTTTTTGTTTGTAGCTGCACATGACATCATACTATATATTGAGGCTGATTGATTTAGTATTGGCTGTAGATACAACACACTGGAGGCCAATATTGAGTTGAATATTTCTTCTGGAATCTCGAATACAATTGGGCTCCAAACTAGCAGTCGATGTTTATGTTCTAACCATTGCCGAAGGTTGGCGCAGAATAATAGGGTATGTATAATATCACTAAGAAAGTATTGGCCATCACCGCATGGTAAAGAACGTTGGTATGGTCCAGTACGTTCTTCGCATCGAAATGTTGGTATCCTAAAGCAGTTACTACTGAAACGATAAGTGTTTTCCTCATTCAACTGCATCTCGTCAGTACCGTCAAGACAATCAGCGGTGTTAGGTCCATCTCGTATAAATGCCAATGGAATGCATTGTCCACCAAAATGACATCGATATGTGTCATCAGGGCACTCATTCATTTCCAACATTTGACAATTTTCTTCATCGTTTCCATTGATACAATCAAATTTTCCATCACAAATCATGCGCCAGTCAATACACGTTATTGGTGCATTACTAATACAATTATTTAGAAAAGAGTAACATGTAGCGTTGAGATATTCCACCTTGATCCCGTTAGAAGAGCGAGTGGAAAACTCTAGTCGAACAATATCATGAAAAGATGCTCCGACATTGTTATTGAAACTGTATTGACATTTTGAACCAAACCAAGGTGATGAACAATTATAAAAAACCTTTGCTGAATTGGCACCGTTTATTTCATACTCTTCAGCGATATTAATTGGTGCTGACCAGTGAAGTAGTTGTGCACTTGTTACACCTTGTTTATATAATTCTTCAAATGTAATGATATTGTTTATATTACTCTGTGAAACATTTGATAAATCATCCAGTGCTTCATTTTGATCGAGTCTTCGACAATATGGAATAATCTGATTCATCGTTCTATAGGGAAAATCAACGTAGTTGTCATAATCTATCATATGAGCGTAAAGACAGTCAAAGATTGATTTAAAGATTGATCGATCATTGGTATCATAAAGAAGATATTGAGTATCAAGTAGATTCAATGATAATAGAAATATCAGTAATTGTAGACTGTTCATGATTGATTAGATTCCAACTAATTCATAAACCTTCTCTTCTTATCATTGTATAATGGAAAAGAGAATGTTATGTGTAACAAGAATACGACAGATTTTTATATCCTTGTAATATTTGCTGACAGCTACAGCAGCTGCTGTTAAAGTTATGATAAAAACTATGATATCTATAAAAGTATCCATATTTACTAACAACACAGGTACTTGAAGAAGTTTCCGTACACATAAGTATATTTTTGATATTTTCTGCTTTGTGAGACAGAAAAAGAGATTTTTTTCAGCAATGAACAGTTATTACTTGGAACTACAACTACGCAGTTTCTTCACTTCGGAGGAGAAGTGCATTGTAATTTTATATTCACATTGTGATGTAAGACACGCTGAGAAATCTCATCTCTTTTCCATATAATTTACATGATAAAAATTATCTTTCGTCAATTATGTATTATGGCGACAGATGAAGTTCATTTTTATCGTTCTAGCAATGTGTAAATAATATGATTTTAATGGCAAAAAGCTATTAATGCAATCTTTATGGAATAATAATGTAGAATACAATGTTCCCATTGCCATTTTTTCCTAAAGCGTGTTTTTTTTTTCTTCTCTATACTAACGTATGCTTATTCATCATTGCTTACTCACAATACAGATAGAGTCAATGTTGGTAAAGCGAACGCTTTTCGAGGGTGCCTTTGTTCTATCTTGTATATCTCAGTCACTTTAAGGAGTAAAATTTTTCTTTTTATGTAGTTGGAAAGAGAAATGATTTCTCTATCTACTCATATGAAAAAAAAGATTCTAGATGCTCTCGTGATTGAGTAATTAGCGGTATAAAATGGCACACCTAAAACGTTCGCTTTATCCGTCATGTTGGTAAAGCGAACGCTCAGCAAAAATATTGCTGGTAAAGCGAACACTCCAGAGGAGAACAAGCAAAAATGTCATTGAGTAGCGAATTTAAGTACTCCTGCTTAAAAATTTCAATATTTTTTTTCAAATGACATGATTCAATTCCTCGTCTTGAACTCTATCTAATTCCTGCGGTTCAGCTCAATTGAATGTATTTTCGATTTTTTTATTGATTTTTTTAAAAATATACTAGGTGTTCGCTTTATCCGTATGGCAGATAAAGCGAACGTTCAGCGAGAAAATGTTGGTAAAGCGAACGCCCCAGCTATTTTTGCTGCAGATAATTTACTTGAGAGTATTTCAATCATTTGTGATTCTCAAAAGCAAAATTTACCATAATGACCTTTGACAATTTTTTCCAGAATGCTTATATCTACTACTCACCAGCGGTTCTAGCAAAACCAATGAGTGTTTTTTTCGAGCGCTTCTTTCTCTTTGATCTTATTCTTTTCATACGAAAAAAACAATGAAAAAGTAGATATCTCACTATCAAATTGTTTCTAAAAGACATGATATAATAAAGAAGAGCTTATAGTAGCTATAACTGGTGGTTCTTCGTCTACTGGTTTCTTTGCTACCCTATCTGAATTATTGGGTCCAGGTTGTCATAAAACGTGTTAGTTCTATGTTTCTCTTTACTATTATTTGAACTTGACGTTTTCCAAAATATAATAATGTCACCTATGAAAACGTTGATTAAAACAATACTACAGAGATTTTGTCAAGATATTTATCAGTTTGACTCCAACAGAATTCTGACGCATACTAGCGTGGATTTCACTAAGCTAATAGAAACAAGATCTAAAAACGGTTTGTTTGGTTTCGCTTTGTGTAATACTTTTATAAGGATTGCGAAATTTGCATAGTATGATATACATTTTATAGGCTCTTAAAAAATTGTAAGATGAGTGTTTGCACTACTGTTAAAACCTTTTTATATCAATGATTCCCAAAGCAATATTCACACTCTGGTAACTTATTTATTTCAGAGAGAAGAAAAAAGGAAGTATCATTTGACTGTTTAATCGTGCAGCCAAAAATGCTGGAGACTTATTGATTCCTTTTTGTCAGTTACTAATGAGTATGCATTCCAGTGCGGTCTTTTGTTTTAATTGGAAAATAATACTATTGATATAAGAAAATACGGTATTCTTAAAATAACTGAAATAGCCAGCAAAGTAGCTATATCCATTTCTTTGTTGCTTTGGAAGTGAATTAGTAAGTATAACAGAAGCTTTTATACTTATTCTAATTAGCTAGAACGATCGGATTTTTATTCTAACTATATGAAATTTTATAATATTTGTTAAATAAAAGAACCATATATTAGTAGAATAAAATATAACTCGATTTAGCATGATATACGGAATATTCGATGTTTGAAGAGTTCATTGCTGAATATCTTTTCATATTTGAAACGCTGAGACCTTTCATCACCGTTATATTAATTTTTGGCTACCGCATCATAAAAAAAAAGGATCCAGTAAACCAAATTGTATTTCTATTTATTTTTCAATACATTCACTTCAGATCCGAAAACTGTTGAAACAGATAGAATTTAATTTAAAATAAATTTACCTTGTTCAAAATGTCTACGATTAACAGCAATTGAGTTCTGAGAATTGGGTTCTCTTTCTATTAAAGAAGTGGTTTACAATACGAATATACTTTTATTTCATGTTAAAAACTATTTTATTTTTTGATGGTGTGAATATGGGAATGGATTTGGTTGAGACGAAAAGTTGCAGGCATATATACGTCCTGGAGTATATCTTCTTCACACATAATTTTCAACGTATCGATAAGAGAAAAACTGAAATAAGTGTTCAGACACATTGGTAGTTTCTAATTACGCAGAATGTGAATTATCATTGAAGCACTTTCTGAAATGTTTATACTCAATCTATCGGGATGGTGATTCGTTTTAGTTTTAAATTTCTTACTATCAATTATCGGGCATGGGTCTGGGCATTTCTCATATTCATTCACACTTTCATCACACACTCACACACCCACACCTCGATACGCAAAGTAAGTTGTTCGCAAATGTATATGTCACAGCAGACACATGATATTACTCATTTTTGATCTTGATGTTGCGATGAATAAAAATGTTAGTAGGAGTTTGATGTCAAGGTAAATGATTGTCGTGTATTGTTGGTTTCGAAGTAGCGAAAGTAAAATTGAAACAAATGCGAGCATCTTATCTCTGTTTGTCTACACCATTCATGTGCTATATATTTGAAGTATACCTGTACATTCTGCATATTCGTCATTCTGTTGTTTATTGTATTCTTCGTCTATCAAAATGTATTTCGTTCTTACATTGATGAGTAAGTTTAGCAATAAGGAAAGAAAAAACTTGTTATTTGTGTTCATAGTTACTATCGTGCAATACTCCATGTCAGCAATAAGTCCTTGTGCACGATGGAACATGGTAGGGACTAATGTAATCGGAACGGGTGTGGCTGGAAATGGCTCCAATCAACTTTACCTTCCAGAAGGCCTTTTTTTTCATAAATCAACTAATACATTATATGTCGCTGATTCGTATAATTCTCGAATTCAGAGTGTTTTACTCAATCAATCGTTGAACGTCAGCCCTATTTTAATACCAAACTTACGGTATCCTAGGCGAATCTATGTCGACGAGGATGAAAATGGCTCTGCCATCTATGCCACAGGGATCTATTCATTATATTGTGGCATCCAATGGGTCTTAGGTGCATCATCTGGTATACCATTAGGTGATAAAGGGAGTATTTGTCAGGGAATTTCAATTAACAAAGAAAAAAAGGTTTTTTTCATAGACTGGGTATTACACATATTGCATAAAGAGTCGCCAGGAATGAATGACACTGTAGTCATTGCTGGTATACCAAAAGAATGTAATTCAACGAGCAAACATTTCTGTGGCCCTAACGGCATCTTTGTAGATCAAATGAGTGACGCAGTATATGTAGCTGATACCTGGAACAATCGTATCCAGAAATGGTCGAAAAATGCACAAGAAGGGATCACAGTAGCTGGTTCAAGCAATGGTAGTTATGGGTATGATGCTGCATTGTTAAACAACCCTGTAGATGTTTTTGTTGACACCGAAACTGGTGTGTTATATATCGCCGATACATACAATAGACGAATTCAACGTTGGCTTCCAGGAGCGCTGAAGGGTGATACGATTGTTGGTGGATTTGGTATGCTTTTAATGTTTTTCTCATCAAAAACAGAGCAGTAGCCGAAATTTTCATGATAGTATTGTACTTACACGGAGTCACATCTTTCATCAAGAGCTTTTAGCACTTTCAGATATTATCCGATAATATTGTTTTGAAATAATCTGAGACGAAAATATACAGATAGAGGAGTATTTGATATATTATCAAGTTTATGTTTATGTATAACAATAGATAATGACAATCCAAATACTCAAATGATGATACCAGTGGCATTGACATTCGATAGTGAAGGCAATCTTTTCGTCACCGATATTAACAATCATCGTGTTCAAAAGTTTGCTCTGATTGATAATACTACATGTTCGTCGACATCAACAGGTACGCTGAATATATTATTTTGAGTTTTTATTTTTATAAACTATCGATGATCATTTTTAAAATACTTATTAGACTTGATAATGCACAAGTATGTAAATTGAAACATATTGATTGCAGTTCGTACTTGATATTATAGGACTATGATAATCATGACTGTTGCGTCACTCTTATCGTCAATGATTTTAAAATGTTTGTAATTGTTATGTTGTCAATATTCTTTAAGCTTGCTATCTCGGACCACTAAATGCTATATTTCTTCGTACGATTGACAAATGATTTATGATCAAGACTCTTTTCCTTTAATTCAGCTGAAATTCCTAAGAAAAAATTTTGAATAAACTGTTCTCTTAAGTGAAATGTCTTTCGGATTTT